GCAAGCTCTCGCTTAGACTTTAGGCTGCCTGCCTCAAACCTTGATTCGATATCTGAATCATGCACTTAGGTGGAGAGATCAGCGTGGGAATTACAACGCTTATTGAGATTATTCCTCACGAGTTGTGTTTCGTTTATTCAAGCTCCTTGTGGCAGACTTATTTCCATTTCTTTCGTGCACTTCTATCTGTGCATTGCTCTTGGGCATTGAGGTGGGCCTCGCTGATACCGTGCGCGTGTGCTTATCCTCTCTCACGCAGGCGTTGCCGATGCGTTCTTCCATGGGACGTGACCTCGATCATTTTAGTCTTTTACAGGTGTACTCGAACAATTCCGCTTTATTGAGGAACGGAGCACTCCTGTTGTCGAGTGGCTACTCGTTGGTGCATATGCAACAAGCACTCCGACACTCTCATACTAAGTTGTGTGAGGCTGTTTGTACCTCTTTTCTCGATTTTACAAGACTCGTTGTTTTCCAGTCCACGTTGGTAGTCTCTGACTATTGGCTACCTGACTGATTGTCTCAGGTGGATGCCCTCATAGTGCTTTCGGCATTATTGTATAGATGTCTAAACTGAGAGGCGTTGCTCGAGCCGTTGTCCTCATCGAGCGGGTCTCTTGAATAGAGAAGCAGTCCACACCGCTCCTTTGGTGGACGGAGGAATCTGCAGTTTCGAACCAGTGATTGGTTCGTAACGAAGGATAGACTGGCACCTGGACCGTCACCCTTGACGCAACTTTGCGGCGTCAATCGATATTGAGCGGTCGCACTTGTCGTGATAGCTTCACACCTATTCCGTAGCCACGGGCACCTTTCTGTTGGAAGAGAACTCCTTGAACTTCTGTTGAAACTTTACTGCTGCTACAGAGTTATCACGAGGTTGATCTAGGAACACGAGGATTGGAGCCAAATAGAGTAAGTTCTACAAATCATATAGTTCGTGAATCAAACTGGCGTATCTTTCGACCTCCTCCACGACCGGGATGAGATCGCTGGCTGGCGCTCGATCTCGTCGGCCGAGATCGTGGCTCTCCACTGTGGTCGCCAGATTGTTCGCGGGAAATTCGTGCTTTCTTCCATAATGATGTTCATTGTACACTCTTGTTTAATTAGCTTTATCGATTAACAAAGATCCGTGTCTTTTTATAACGATCCGGTTACAACTGAACAATCAAATAAATAGAAATGAAAATTACAACTTTGTTTCCTTGTTTGATCGAACGAATCAACGGCTCTGTATTTCCGTCGCTCTCGCTTTGTGGTTCTTTGCTGCGCCTGACGTTGTTTGCCGTGGGACCACGCATTTTTGGCGATCTAAGATCGCGATTCGGATCTACGAAAAGGTACGACGGTGGGTATTATTCCACGAAGGAAATAATAGCCGGGGGCGATTGCATTCCACCAGAGGAACAATCTTTTTCTTATTTTTTTATTTTGCTTCAAGTCTCAGATCTAAGACCAGCTTAGATCGGAGTTGTACACGTATAGATCTGAGATCTCGGTCTCTCGACACCTGACCGCTTATTTGCATTGACGGTCGCCGAGCACCAGAATCTGGGATGAGCAAGTCCTTGAAAGTCCTAAAAGTTTGAATCTTGTTAAATCTGAGTCTCCAATATCCAGCAGGGCTTCGCCTCTCCAAATTTTCCAACCCTCAAAACTGAACAAGCCCTAGCTATTTATAAGCACTCAGATCTTTGCCTAGGCACAGATCCTGGCCGGCCACCTCAGGGGTGGCTCGGCTCTGCGCCGAGCCACCCTGAGGTGGCTCGGCTGCCGCAGGCCCTTGGGTGGCTCGGCTTGGGCGAGCCACCTGAGTTTGGCCGGCTTCGCGCCCGAGCCCCGTCTAGTGTTCGTGGTTTTTGGGTTTTCGTGTGATTGGATTAACTTAGGTCTTGTTGATTTGGTGATCTGATTGGCAGTTAAATCCCGGAATTCCCGATTAGGCAGTAAATCCGCTTTTGAGATTGAGTCGAAACGTCTCTGATGTCGATCGTCATTCGTCCGGTATGCCTTGGTTGGATGACTCGTTACTCTTCGAACCCGTTGGCTTGATCCCGCAGTTATGGATGCCATTCCGGTCGCTATGATGCGATTCGTCGATGCCGCTCGCCTCCGTTGGTTCTGTCAGCGTTTGTGCGAGCCTGACCATAAAGGACCTATAAGCATTTTATATGCGTACAAATATATGTATATATAATATATTCATACTATGTATAATATGATGTGTGTATATATAACTCTCTCTTATATATTATAATGTATGTATTGTATGTATTCTATATACTTCTTTCTTATACTATACATGTATATATAAGTCACTTCAATTATATTCTTACAAGAACAACTTGACATACTCATCCTTATATATTGTATTACTCTCTCTTACTATAAGTATATATAAGGTATACACTCTCTTATATATGTATAAATATTATGGTGTATATAATATATACTCTCTCTCTTAGTTAATATGTAATATATAAAGTATACTCTCTTATATATGTTAATAATATGTGTGTGTGTGCCTCTCCACTCTCCTCCTTAGTTATTCGTATATATAGTATCGCTCTCTTATAATCATGTATAGTCTCTCTTATATCAAGTATATATAAGTATACACTCTTTATTATGTATAATATATGGTGTATTAGATATACTCTCGCTCTTAGTATAATAAAATGGTTTATATATAAGTATACTCTCTCTTATATATGGTATATTATGTGTGTGTAATACTCCTCTTAATATATATGCTTATATAATATAGCTCTCTCTTATATATGTATACTCTCTCTTATATAAGTATATATAGGTATACACTCTCTTATTTATATATGTATAAATATAATATGTATACTCCATCTTATAAAGGTATACTCTCTCTTATATATGTATACTCACTCTTATATAAGTATACTCTCTCTTATATATGTATAATATGTGTGTGTATACTCTCTCTCTTAGTATATAAGTATAGTATATTACAACGGCTACTTCTTCCCCATTGGCCAGACGGGCAATGGCTACTTATGCGATTTTCTCTCTCTCAAATATAGATTATAAATATATATAATATATTTACATATAATATATGTATATATAATATATATAATATATGTATATATAATATATAGTTACATAATAATTTATAAGTATATACTAATACATAATTATATAAAATATAATAAATTTAAACTAATTTTTAGCATTTTTTATCAAAAAAAAAAAAAAAGAAAAGAAAAAAATTGAAAAAAATCCGGGCCGACCCGGAGCCCGGCCTGGTTGGGCCCGGGTCCGGGCTCCGGTTTTGCCCGGCCCGGCCCGGCCCGGATGGACAGGCCTAAGGAAACTTCTCTATGATCCTTTAGACCATGGGTACCAAACCCCTTGGCTAAGGGGCAACCCACAAAGCATACGTACGGTCTCGAGTATTCTACAAAAATAAATTCATGTACGTGATTCTAAGAGGGTTAAATCTGAGACCTTAGAGTATTGTTGATTTGCAGCTTAGCAATACTTTTATAATAGACGACAAAAGTGAGGTTTTATATTACAAATACATATATCATGGATGAAAGGAGTCCTACATAAATTTTATTAAAACAAAACTAAATAATATACGGTTAAAGAATCATAGAAAACATTAGTGGGTGGCTCACCCCTGAGCCCCTTGAGGGGGGACGATCCACAACAGAAGTTCCGTGTTTGAATCTCCCCTTAGGTAATTAAACTCCCCTCGTGCAGCGTCTACCGCTCCGTGCTTAGGGCTAGTCCCATAAAAACAACAGAAGAAGAATCAAAGAAGAGATTCTAGCTAGGGTTGGGCAGCCCGGGTCGCCATGGGTCACGATCCGACCCGAGTTGTAGTTGAATGGGCCCGATTCGGTTCATCATATACCTGAGTCATGGGTCGGGCTAGGTTCAACCCTATACCTAAGATCAGAGAAGTAGGCCATGATATATTTTTTGGTTGGACTAGTCGTTCTTTTAGCCATTTGAGTCTGTAACTAGTTTTTTCTTTAGCCCTTTGGGTCTACAGCTAGCTGTTAACAAAGCCAAAAGGTCATAGAGTTTTGGCTCGTGGGCCTTTTGGCCCACTGAGAAATAAAACATCAATCTTTAAGCTCGCTGCTATCTACTTGAAAGGATCAAAAAGTTTAATACTAGTTTAAAAATAATTTAATACAAGTTTAAATTAATAAAAAATAAATTAGAAATAACTTTATAATTGTAAATACAAGTTTATAATTAAAAAGACTGGTCCACGCCCACCCCTAATTCTAGCTAACACACTTATGTTCCTATCTACTAAGATAAATCATCACCGAGAATGTCAAAATATTAATAATAAACTATACATATTCAAATTTAGCACCAGAAGAAAATATCAATATTTTGGAATGTAATCTCTATATATGATGTAAATGAAGAAATAATGGTTTTTTCCCTTTGTGTAGGGCCCCAAACTTAATCCTTTTTCCCCCTCTCAATCTCATTTATTTTTAATTAAGCCCCATAAATTTATAAGTCCGTCTAGATAAGTACCTTAAGTTTAAAGACGTACATAATCCTAGCGTAACTATTTTTAAAAATCTTGCTCGTTTCACCGCCATCTTCTCTAAAAATGTTTACCCATAACACCTACATCAGGGTCCAATCGACACATCTCAACAAATAAAAAACAGAAAAAGTGACATACTAGAGGAAGATGAAGGGGAAGAGGCTATATCACTCTTGCTACTCTAGAAGTAACAACTATAGTTGAAACATGACAAACAAGATTAACAATATTTAGATAAATCATTTTAGAGAACTTATAAATTTGCGGGACTTATTTAACATATATGAGATACGGGGGACTTATCTTGAAAATAGTCAATAGTGGGGGACTTAAAAAGGAAAACCCTTAAACCCATATGCTTTGTGTCGGATTAATAATCACAAATCTCACAACTTTTCAATTTTTGTTGTCTTTACTTTTTGTTCCATTGGACCATTATTCATCCTTTACAACATGAAGACGTTGACCCTCTTCATATTCTTGAAAAATCTCCCCACATTTCCTCTCTCCTCTATCTCTCTCCTCCTCCTCTAGAAACAGAAGTACGATTCTTCAAAAATTTCAAACTCACGACTCTCAAGTACTACTTTATTCATTCATTGTTCCAATATCTAGAGAGAGAAACTAGAGAGAGAGAGAAACTGAAGAGAAGGAAATGGTGACCAAGAGATTGAGGAAATTGTATGCAAAGGACGCCAAGAAGTTCTTGAACCATGTGATTGAGGACAAGCCCCTGTTGCCCTTTTTGATCCCATTGGGGTTCTTTGCTTGGGCTATTGAGAGATGGCTTGTGCCTTTTTCCAACTGGGTTCCTCTTGCTTTTGCTGTTTGGGCTACGATTGAGGTGAATTTCTCTGTTTTTTTGTGGATTTTTTGGTGATTTGGGTTATTGGGGATTAATGACTTTTGTTCAATTTGGTTGTTTTTTTGGGTTTATGTTTTAATTCTACGTAAAGGTATGAACTTAGTACTTGTGGTCTAGCTAATTGATCATTGATTGCCTTACTCTTAACAAAGGAACTCACATTTAAAAAAAAAGGACCGCCTCTAGTTATGGTTAGTAGTTATTTAGTTGATTCAGGACGCCGGGTCTAGACTCTAGATTGATTTCGAAGTTGAATTTGGTCATTCTGTGTGTTTTTTTGCCTAACTCCTGAGTGATTCACACTTTTAGATATTGGAGTTTGGCGATTTAAAGTTTACTTAAAGATGATATGCTATTGTAGATTAGCTAAAAATGTTTATTGGAGTTTGGCGATTTAAAGTTTATTTAAAGTTTAATTGCTTGAATCAGCTGATTTGGGCTGTTGGGTGTGAAGAAATGATAGTGGGTGCCTTTCTCTTACTGTAAGCAACATGCAAAACTTTAGCTTTGTGAGCCTTTTCTGGTGGCAAATGGCATCAGATGGACACTTTGATGTATTGTGGTATAATTGAGGGGATTTAGCTTGTTGTGTTAGATGGAAATTAAAAGTAAGGTTTTAACTTGTTAGTGTATAGTTCGTAATTGGATAGTGTATACGAGTAGGTTAGCTAACTTAAACTTTAATTGCTTGAATTGTAGCTGTTCTGCATTGTTGGGCATGATGAATAGTGGTGTTTACCTTGTATTATTGATGAAATTCGCAAAATTGTTGTGGTGGCTAATGGTATTTCACTTGATTTAATGGACCGATTTTGTTCCAATTGATTAAATCTGGTTCTCATTTGTTTTATTCCTTAATTATTCATGACATTTCTACAGATTAAACCAGCTCATTTGGACTTTCAGTCTTTCAGATATGAAGGAATAATGTTACCTTACACAGTTACACTTAATGAACAAACGTGCAAAATTTTAACTTGGTAAACGTTTGTGGGTGTTTAATGGTTCAGCTGGCTTTTTTTATGTCTGTTAAGTAGTTGTGTGTTTTAGATGATTTGGCTTGTTGGATTTGGATGAATGGTGGAGATGAATTTGGTCCTTTTATTGGAGTTAAGGCTTGAATTCTTCATTTCTTACATCTATAAGGGTTTGAATTTGGTATTTCAAATTTCATCGTTAGACAATACTTGTGTGATAAAATAAACCAAGTGTTGATTGCGTGAATTAGCTGAGTTTAAGGTTTTGGGCATTAAGGAATGATAGCAATTGCCCTTAATCATTTAGTTTCTTGACTAGACTTGAACTGCAGTTTGTTTGCCCCTTATCTGTAGATGTAGGACAGCCGTGTGGTACCTAGAGGTTGACTAATTTGAGATTTATAATTCTATAAATAACACCCCTCCCTAGTATCTCATTGATCTCTTGCCTCTTCGATTCAATTTTATAGTAAAAAAGAACCACTGGTAGTCTCTAGTAGCATGGGTTCGAGGTTATTAACATTGTGGGTTGAAGACACGTTTGGAGCAACAAAAGATCTTTGCCAAATTTCTTGTGAGGATGTATTTAAACCCTACTTTTAGTTTCCATCATAAATCTAGGTAGGATCTTATGGGTATACATTAAAAGATAGGATAAGAAATGAATGTATCCGTAGTAAATTAGAGGTTGCACCTATTGAGGATAAAATGAGAGAGAATAGATTAAGATGGTTTGGTCATGTACAAAGGAGACCCCTTAGTGCACCGATTAGGAAAAATGATAATATTAGAGTTAATGAGGCTAGGAGATCTAGAGGGCGACCAAGTATGACTTGGTCAGAAGCAATTAAGAAGGATATCATTAAGACTAACGTAATGGAGGAAATGACCCGCAACAGAATGGAATGGAAAAATAGGATTCATGTAGCCGAACCCAAATATTTGGGATAAAGACTTGGTTGTTGTTGTTGTTGTATAAATCTAGGTAGGATCTTGGATTTAATTTAGTTATACTAGAGAAATATATCACCCACCTATTTGTCATATACATACCGAAGAAGGCCATGCTTTAAACCCTAGTCTCCTTAAAAAACCTCCATCTTAGATCAAAATTCCTTTTAATAGTTAAACAAATTAAATATTAAAAAATTTATGTATGTATCAACATTATTGTTAATTTATACATCTATTGTTATTGCAATTGATGATCATAGAAATTTTAGAAAATGCTTCGAAAACAGAAAATCGTGTCTAATTCATGTATGACTTGTGTTCGACATGACATGACCTCATGTTTGAAATATCCATGCTACCTAAGTGCATATAGATTCTAAACCCTTAGACAAAGATTAGATATTTTTAATTGCAAACTCACAATCTTTTTTGATTTCGTCACAGTAAGTTTGAAATAATAAAGGCTGTAAGTTCAAAATGATCTCCTCTCTTCCTCCCTACCTCTCCCTCTCCCACTCTGCCTCGTGTAATACCAAGGATCTGAAGGGGGTATATATGTGACAAACCCTTTTCATTAGACAATTCTGCCACATAATGACAATTAGATAGCTTGGCAATACAAAAATTAAGCACACAAGAGGAGAACATTGGATTAATTGTACCTGTTAGTTTTTCACACTCTCTTGTTTCTGTTCTTATATGATCTGACTTGCAGATTCTTCATGTAGTTTGGAATCTACTGGAGTTCACTCCTTTGGGTGATTTACACCGAGATATGGTTTTGAATGGGGGAATGGTGCAGATTGAGGTTAGATTGATTCAGGGGTAGATCCAAATACATGGGAAGGGATAATAATTGCATGGAACCCAATTCGTTCCGGTTCACGGAATGGGAATGGGAACGTGGTACACCACTTATTTGGAATTGGGTGCAAAGGGGTAAAGCTAATATGGTACATTAGGGGATGTGGTATGTTTTAGGTTCGGTTTTTAAATGTAGGAATCTGAGTTCCTAATGTACAATTCTATGCAAGAGTCAAATTCAAGGATTGGTAATGGTAAAAGAATTTTCAAGATGAAATTGCGGTACGCTTTTTGTTGTTTATTTTTCTGAAAGTGGTTATTTTGTTCCAAAATATTAACTAATTTGAATTCTAAATCGGGTCGCGGGTAGGTGACCCAGTTAGATAGTGTATCGCATTTCAGGATGATTGAATCCTAGTTATGGTTCGCTATAGTGACCCACATTCCCGACATCTATGGGAGGGATGCAGTTGCACCCCTAGAAATTTATAAATTGAATATAAGCCCTTGTAGTATTTACAATCTGTCCCCGCCCCCCACCCCCAAAAAAATAAATGTTTGATATATGTGCATTGCTCAATGCAAAACCAATTGGCCCTCGTACTAGTTACTTTATGTTTGAATTTAGGTATTATTCAACTCATCTACTCATAGATATTTATTGATTAAAGACGACAAATTTGATAAAATATTACCTACGTTATCAGGTGGTTTTTTTTCCTTTTTTAAAAGTTATGTTAATGCTCTGTATGATACACACACACATACAACACGCGCGCGCGCACGCACACACGCACTCACTTGGACGAAGATCATTAAATTCTTAAATTCACACACACACACACACATACTTGGACGGAGATCATTAAATTCTTAAATTTACACACACACACACACAAATACTTGGACGGAGATCATTAAATTCTTAAATTCTAGAAGACAGACATGATAATTTTCTGTGCAGTATGGGAGATTCCACCGTCAAATACTTATAGAGGAGTTGAATGGCAGATGGAAGCAGCTTATATTGAACACGACAGTATGCTTTTAACTTTTATGATTTTTTTCAACTCAGTTAGTTTGGAAAAGATATTCTTATCTTTGTTCTTGTATGGCAGCCCATAACGCCATTTGAACCTTGTGAGTGGCTGAACAAGCTACTATTAGAAGTTTGGCCCAATTACATGGAACCAAAACTCTCAAGTAGATTTTCCTCGATTGTGGAGGTGAGCATCTATATTTAAGTTATTTGATGGTAGTGTTTTGTTTTAAGCTTCACTTTTAATAATTGTGATAATTAGTTGACAATTAAATTTACTGTTTTATCTAACATTATTAGTTGTTAGTTATAAAACTGTTTTATTTCTACATTATATCATTCACAACTTGTGCAACGTGGTAGCGGAAAAAGTGAACAAACACTTTCTCCTCCTCTATCCCAGTGTTTAATCTTTTACCCAAATATTACCAGCTGTCAGTTCTCATTGGCATTATTGTTATCACAACGTTCACATTTTTCATTATTTGCCAATCTTAGGGCCTCAAGGTTCATAAATATTTTTTCCCTTAAAACTTGTAAATTACAATTGTTTCCGTACGCCATTGTTTCTAAAGTTTCTTTCTAATTTTTGGCTTCTACTAATTGAAACTACGGTATAAAATCAGATTCGGATCATTGTTGAGAGGGTAAAATTGCAAATATCAGAAAGGAATGGTAGAAATATCCAAATATTTACTGTGATGTTATCTACATATTGGTCTTGAGCTCAGTCAGATTCGAACTAACAGCTTGTTGTTCAGATTCTCTAGCATTCTCTAGAACTGAAGCTGTAAACTTGCCATCCTACGAAAAAACAAGAGAGAGTGTTGAAGAGCTTTTACATTGATTATATGCTCAATTGTATCTTATTTGTTCATTCATTCATTTAGCAAGGTTTTAAATATCGTCCGACATGTCTGACATGTCGGCCGACATATCGGTTTGAGGGTTTGACCGACACGACATAGGCGTTTTTAACTCGTATGTCGGTTTTCAGGGCCAAATCGGAAATATAAGGGTCATTTCGGGCATATCGGTCTATTTTTTAGCTTTGAAAAATCAATCGATATGGTACTTTTTTTTAAGATCTGTTTTTTATTATCGGGTTTGGATTTAGTGATAAATACCCAAACCCGTTTGACCCGTTCTCATGTTTAAGGGTTTCTTATGAACCCGATAGAAAGAATTTATGAATCCAAATCCATATATTATTTACTTTTTTATATGTTTAGTTTATAGAATTTATAAAGTATGCTTATATTGAATTTATGAATGTTTAGATTACATTTAGGACATGATATTATACATATGCGCACTACCTGATATGACAATCCGATATTTAGTCAATGTCCCCCGATATATCCCCGATTTCCGCTATCCGATATGGATTTCAGTCATCCGATATGAACCCGACATCCAACATTTAAAACCTTGTCATTTAGAGAACTTACATAAAGATGGAAGATTTACTTTCTAAAAGAAAATCTAATCTATCATCATCAATTGGGTGCAGGTTGAAAGGTTATGTATTAATTTGAAAGCTCATTAAGGACATTTTTCAGATAGATTTAATTTTTCTTTTGTTTTATGTTGCAAATATATAAAATGAACGATTTTGTGATATGCAGAGGCGCATGAAGAACCGGAAACCAAAGCTTATTGTAAGTGGTATATTGGCTAGTTAATCCATATATGAATCTATTAATGATGAAGTGTAAACTTGTTGAGTTAGTGAGACTTTTATCTTTGTCTAGGAAAAACTAGAATTGCAGGAATTTTCACTCGGTTCATGCCCACCTAACTTGGGAAGAACGGGGATGCATTGGATTACTTCAGGTGACCAGGTTTGTTCTAAACTACATTTTGAAAATATGATTCTCTACATTATAGCAAGTGAGAAAACTAAGAACAGTTTTATAACTTTTGTTATATGTAACACTTTCTGTCATTTATTCAACTTTGCTATTGAAAGCTCAAACTTGGTCACTAACTCAGTAAGTCTTATCCTATTTTAACATCAATATTACTGTAAATAATTCGTTCGTATTTGTGCTTCCCTCTTTTTGCTACAAAACTCCATCTTCATTCTATATTCATTGGTTCCATGTATAAATCGTGTATCATAAAGGAGTTAGCTGTTGAAAAATCTTCATCCTCTTCTCTTTATCCCTTCTAATAATACTAAACTTCATAGGTGTCTGGTGCTGTTTTAAGAGGCTTTCTGATTTCCTGTTGAAAACTTTGAAATGATTATAATTTTCTAAGCTTCTTAAGATCATTTTCATGTGGAGGCATATAGGGGATATGGAGTAGGGGTGATCATACGGTCGGTTGGTTCGGTTTTGCCTAAATTTGGGTGAACTGAAACCGAACCTTCTGTGGCTCGGAACTGAACTGAAACGAATCGGGTTGGTCGGTTCGGTTTATTCAGTTTAATGTGGGAATAGAATGCTAATGCCTATTCTCACGTTTGGGTGCAATTAATAAGAGAATGATCGGGAATGGACATATTTAGAAGTTATGCATTTTTTGATTCCCACTTAAGTGGGAATGCCCATCCCTACCATCTCATTGGGAATGATCCTTCCCACATAAACTGGGAATGAAGGGAAAGTGGGAATGTACATTCTAGCTTCCAAAAGAGATTGTGTTTGGTATGAAGGAATGAGAAGTGAGAATTGTCATTTTATTTACACTTATTCCTCTGTATCAAATGAGGCCTTAGCAAGTGATGAAGTTCACCCAAATATTTGAATTCCTGTGCAAAAAAGAGTTTCATCCTGCTCATGGTTGTCAACCTTCAGTTACGCACAAGCAGTACTTAAATGTATGAGTATATTATTCTTTGGGAAGTTTCAAGTGTGTAAGATTCTAATTTTTTTTTAAAGTTCAACTTATTTTTTATTGGATGCTAAATTCATAATTTGTTTTATGCATTGACAGAAAGTCCTGCAGCTAGGTTTTGAGTGGGATAGTAATGAAATGAGCATTATGCTAATGGCAAAGTTAGCAAAGCCACTAATGGGGACTGCTCGTATTGTAATCAACCAGATTCACATCAAGGGAGATGTAATCTTTATACCTTCTCAATTCTTGTTGATTTTGCCATCCTCAATTTTAATGTTTTATTAAGCACATGTTATCACTGCTATCTGTGCACGTAAACATGTAGAACCATATAAATAAATGTCATATTAGTAGATAGTGCAATTAGTTATATATTTTCAGAAATCGTAATGACACAGAGGAAGCGAAGCTGCAACTAACACTTGAAAAGTAAAAGAGATTAATTTATATCAGTCTGCACACCTTTTGTTCTGTTCCATAACTTCTTCCAAGAACATCCAATGCGTTAACAGTTTAAACTTTAATGTATTAAAAAGATAGATTCATTTTTGTATCAATATGTTATTAACCTTTGAACTTTTGAAATAATGCAAAATTCACATTCTAAATTGACACAAAATTATGCATGTTGTTGAACAGACACTGCATACCATGTATCATTCTTTTCTCATCGGAAAAACAGTGTTCTCGAGTTTTGTAGTGAATAATAGTTTGGCTATTACCTTTCCACATGGTGCTTCTGATGACAAAAAGTAGTAACCTTGTTGAGAATTTTTCTGTAAAAATAATCACGACTCAACAACAACAATTTGTTTCTCCAGATTATCAAGACCCACAAATTCATGCTTCGGAAACCTTTATAATTATCTACTTGCCGGATAATAGTGACCCTTTGCTTCATCAAATTTGTGTGTGCGCACGTTATTATTATTATTATTATTATTATTTTTTTGGGGGGGGGGGGGGGCCAAAAATTAAAGAAATGTTTTTGATGTGAATGACTAATATTTGCAGATATAATGGTTGCTGTAATGGTATGCATCTGATATCCAATTGACAAATCAAGAAATTGAAGAACTTTTAGTTGTAGGTTTTTTGTGGAATTTCTCTCCCTTCGAAGGATACAATATAATTATATTGTCAACCTAGAGATACAGAAAGAAACTCACCCCCTTAAGGACCCTGGGACACAGAATACTAATCCCCCACTCAATGAAATCCACTTAACAAAAAGATAACTTCTCTCAATATTCTGCTACTTTTCTATATATATATATATATAAAAGTGCAGCAGAAATGAGAATGGTATATAGGACGAGTGTGTATATACACACGATGATATAAAATGATTGCACTAGTAGGAAGTTAGAGGTTGCTCCCAAGGTTTTAAATATCGGTTATCGGGGATTTATCGGACGGTCAAAATCCTTATCGGATAGCGGAAATCGGGGATATATCGGGGATAAGTAGTATTTATCGGAGTGATATAGTGGATGATGTATATATATAATATAATAACTAAAAATGTAATCTAACCATGCTTAATAAAATATAAACATACCAAAATGTAAATAACCATGTTTAGAATCACTAACCAATTGTTGAAAGAGAAACTTGCAGTCTCCACAATTAATCCCAGTAAATCAGTAATACAAGTCTGAGAAGTCTCACAACAGAAATTCTATAAGATTAAAAAGAAAAAAAATTCCTATTTGAGTAGATAATTCAACAGTCAACAGTCAGTCAGTCCTCACAAGTAGATAATATCTGTTCAAATCAAAAATCAACTTAAAAAATAGAAAACCACAGCCAGAGACGAAGGCTAGAAGAGAACGACAAAATTAAACTTAGGAAACAGCAGCAGAGAGAGAGACGAAGGCCAGAAGTGAACGAAAATGAACTTCGAAGGTGAGAAGAGATGAATGATACCTGTTCGAAGTCGAGGCGAGCGTGAAGAGGCGAGGTTCTCTGGAATTCGCGAAGGCGAGAGAGGCAGTTTAGGGTTCGCCGGAGATTCACGAAGTCGACGCGAGAGAGGAGGATTCACGAAGTCGCTGCTCGCTGGAGATTCACGAAGTCGCTGACTCGCTGCTCGCTGGAGATTCACGAAGTCGTGGTTGGCTGCTCGCTGGAGATTCACGAAGTCGCTGCTCACTGGAGAGTGGAGATTGACGAAGGCGAGAGGGGAAGAACAGCCGCCAGAGAGGAAGTCTTGGGTTTTCAGAGACGAAGTCGTGGTTAGGGCTTACCTTTTCTTTTCATTGCGAAGTCGGGTCGGGTCGGGTTTCACATCTCAAACTCAAAAACCCAGTGCTGCTCTTAGCCGATAAACCCGATAAAAATCACAGAGTTATCGGGCGATAATCTCCTTTATCGGCGGTTTATCGCCGATAATGTGCCAAAAACGATAACCGATTACAATTTCACGTTATCCTCGCGGCCAGCCCAAAAATCCGATATATCGCCGATAATACCCGATATATCGCCGATATTTAAAACACTGGTTGCTCCTATAGACCATAAACTGAGAGAACTGTTTGAAATGGCTCTGTCATGTACAACGGAGGTCGTTAAATGCATTGATTAGGAGAAATGATAAGATTATTATAATTAATGCACGAGGAAAGACTAGACATAGGCATAAGAGAACTATGCCAGAAACTATTAAGATCGATTATGGATATGATAATGCTCAACTTAGTGGAGTAGACAGCCCTCAACATAAATGAATGCAAGAGTGGGATTCATGTAGCTGACCCACAAAACTTGGAGAAAGGCTTTGTTGTTGATATTAAGTTTCTGAATCAATATAGATTCATGTTCTAACTAGATCCAAAATTTTCATGTTGTTGGACTGACATTGGATATTCCCATATCAATATAATAAGGGGATATTGGATTATAAGATGCCATCTTATTCAGCAAAATGAGTTGCCAAGAGATAGGAGTGTCGAGGTCCAACTGCTCACACGGGACTAGCAGGGGTGTCCCATCATTTGTCTGTCTCTTGGTAGGTCCACCTTAGATGTATTTTTCCATATATGCGTTGGTATATAAGTTTTACTACTTCCCAGAGAATTTTGAATCGTTCCCTTCCCATTGAAACTCAACGGTGTGGTGTTCACTTTAATTATACATTCTATTGTTGTTATTCTATATAGTTGGAGGTCTTTAGAAGTTTTTTGTTTTCTTGTTAGTGCATTAAGTGGCCAAAACATGGATGGCCTGAGCACCAACTTGCTTTCTGGATGGATAAGCATATATATGCACACATAGGGTTGTAGTCCATTGTTCTTTTTAGACAGGACATGCCAATACACATACCATGATACACATAAGTGCCGTATATTCTCTAAACCAATTTTCTTTTTCCTATATCATTCTTTGCATAATGTTTGCTCATTTTATATATTCTTTCCTAACATACAGAATCTTACTATTCTTTATAAATATCATTTTTAAATTTCATAGAATGTCCATCATTCAGGCTTATTAACTTTTCATCCTGCAGCTCCACCTGATGCCAATTCTTGATGGTCAAGCAATACTGTATTCATTTGAATCTACCCCTGAGGTTCGACTAGGTGTGGCCTTTGGAAGCGGTGCAAGCCAAACACTTCCAGCTACTGAACTTCCTGGTGTTTCAACTTGGCTTGTATGTTTCCATTCACCATTGTTTTATTTTGGACTTTTTTCTTGAGTGACATCGTGTAGACTATTTCTGTACTAGTTTTAAGGTTTTTCTTCTTACTTCCCTTTCAATCAGGTAAAGCTTTTCACTGAAACTCTAGTAAAGACAATGGTTGAGCCTCGTCGGGCATGTTACTCTTTACCATCAGTAGATCTAAGGAAGACAGCTGTTGGTGGTGTACTTTCAGTTACTGTAATTTCAGCTGGTAAATTTGGTAACAATAGCTTAACAGGAAGCAATCAATTATCAGGAAGTTTTGGGAATCAAGTTTTACAGACATTTATTGAAGTAGAAGTTGGTGATTTGACCCGAAGGACAAATTTCGGTCAGGGACTTAGTCCTAGATGGGATTCGACATTTAATATGGTGCTCCATGGAAATACGGGAATTGTCAGATTTCATCTTTATGAACAGGATCCGGGCAATGTGAAATTAAACTACCTGACTAGTTGTGAGATAAAGGTACATATTGAGTGAACCCCCAAGTTTATTGAAATCCTTTGTTTTGGTGCACCGTGCATCTTATTTGAGATTAAATCCTAATTAAAGGTAGCTTATGAGGTTGACAGCTTATTATTGTTTTCGACAGATGAAGTACGTTGCAGATGACTCTACAATGTTTTGGGCAATAGGTCGTAAATCTGGAGTGCTGGCAAAACAAGCTGAATTTTGTGGGAAACCAGTTGAAATGGTTGTTCCATTCGAAGAAACTAATTATGGAGAGGTATTGTCTTAATTTACATAGCTCATTTTTGTATAAAGTCGTCATCTTTTCTTTTTCCTTTTCTCTAGTTATATAGGTCAGAACCGAGCAGTATGAACAGCATAGACATTTCAGTTATCACATTTTGAATATAACTTTTATTCATTTATTAGGAGACATGAGAAATTGTTGAGATATATGATGTATCATGCCTAAATGTGATCTTAATTATAATAATGATATTTTTTAGCATCATAAGGTTTCTATTGTATAGCTGAAGAGTCATGATAAATTTCATCTATTTTCCAGCTGGCAGTTCGGCTTGTGTTAAAAGAATGGCAATTTTCTGATGGTTCTATCAGCTTGCGTAACTCGGTTTACAGTCAATCTCAGCCTTCTATAAATGGCTCATCAAATCTCCTATCAAGAACAGGGAGGAAACTCATGGTGACTGTAGTAGAAGGAAGAAATCTAACTACAAGAGATAAATCTGGAAAATGTGATCCTTACGTGAAACTACAATACGGAAAGGTTGATTGTATCTTCATATCTTCTGAATTATTTAGTTACCTTGTTATTATTTTCTTTTCCTTCTATTTTAGTGACTTCAGAGAAAA